GATACCACCGGTAACAACGAATGTTCTGTGGTCACCAGCTCCAGTGTCACTCCGTCCAGTTCTTGATTTCATGGGCCGCTACCAGATCCTGCGAAATGACCAGCGAAAGAACTACCGTTTTCTGCTTGGTCTTCTGCGCCTTTATCGCCGCCAATGATTCCATTCTTATTCGCCACGTACAGAAACCGATCATTGTCAGTCAAACACAAACACTTCAGTGACAGATGCTGTCAAATACAATTGATATTTCGATATTGTTGAAATAAACATGCTTTTGAATTTAATTCAAACATAAATATTTTTATTTTAAACATACTTTCAATTTACTTTGAATATTTCATATGTTTACAGTTTAAACATTCATATTTTTGATTTAAATGAGCAAAATTCGTATCCGTGTTGGTGATTTTGCCAACACTGTTAGGTGTGTGCTGCGATGGAGTAGTAATTGAAGGAAATGAGTTTCTGATATAGCTATTGGCTAAAATAGGTAAATCATGCAAGCACACACCTTTTACAATTCTTATCCTACTTACCAGTTCCGTCCAGTATAAATTGTCTCCAACTGGCGTGATCCTTTCTACACTCCAAGTTCCCTTTTGAAACATCTAAAATTTCATACTTTACCCATTGAGTGTTGATTAATCACAATACAAATCCAAATTTGGCCAATGTCCACTGATAATAAATAAAACTACTTTATGACTGGGTTCATTTTAGTGTTAGAGTTATGTTAGTTTTCATCCGTAATCAGCCCTGCCGGCCCCTCCAACATTAGTTGCAGTCAGAGATAGAAATTCTCACTCAGCTGCACGATAAGCATTTCCTCACTCAAGCTACTGTTCGGTGAGTTGTGAACCGTTCACATTTTCATCTCTCATTTTTCACCGATAATTCATTATACTCTCTCATACATAATCCGAAAATATATCTCTTCAAAAACCAACGAAAATACTTTTTCATCACCCATTTGGCTCTGAAAACAACCAAGAGCGAAAAAAATTCCAACCCAATGTGATGTAAACAGTTGAGGCTTGAGAATTCGCCGTCTTTTTTGGTCTTCCGCTGATTAAATGGTTGACGGAGTGTGACGTCATACTGTGTTATCCATTTAAACAGCGGCAGAACGAAAGGGACAACGATTTCACATAGCCTCAGCTGTTTGCATTTCATTGGTTTCAACCAGTCCGGCAGATTTTTTTTTATTTCCTTTTTAAACCATCTGTTAAATCATAAGGGTCATCCATAAATGACGATGCAATTTTCTTACCAATTTTAGACTTTCCCCTCCCCCTTCGTGGCGTTTTTTCTATACCTTATGCATGGTCCGTTACAAATGTTGAAACCCCCTCCCATTACTCCTCAGATTCTACGTAACTTATGGATGTGCCCTAACTGTTGTTTTGATTCTTAATTTCGGATCATCGTTTGCGTGCGGAAAGTGAATTTTCAGGCATATGAGAGAAGTGAAAAATCATTATCGCAGGGCTGGTAGCAATCACTGCTGTTAAAAATAGTGATTTTAGTGATCATTTTGATGAAATAAGTGACCAAATAGTGACTTATAGTTGTAAAAGTAGTGACTAAAAAGTGACCTAAAAGTAAATTTTAATAAAAACTCTTAGGAATTTCTGAGGAGCTTCAGAGGAAAATTCTAAGGGCATTCTGAGCATAATTTCATAAAGTTTGTGGGAGAAAACGAATCCGGAGCATAAGTCCTTGGATTTTGTTTGAAAATACTAAAGGAGGATTACAATTAAATATGTTAATAACTCCAGGACATCTTCAAAGGAATTCGGAAAATGAATTCAGGAGAGTTTGCCAAACAAATTATGAGAAGAAATCTAAGTAATTTGTGAGGAGAAACGCCAATGAATTCTTAGGAGACTTTCAATGTGAGTAGAATTCCAAGGTAAGGAGTGAGATTGAAAAGGAAATCTGAAATGAATTCATTGAATATTCGGAGAATCTTTGGAAAGGGTTTCTTATTGTGGTTCCTCAGAAATTCCAAGGAAAACTAAAAGAAAATTGAATTCGGAGGATAGCTTCACCAAAATTTTGAGGAATATTTCAATGGAAATCTCCGTAGAATATGGAATGGACTATTCTGAGGTTTTCAGAACTACTTGAAAGTTCCCAATTTTTTCCTGAAGTTAATTAAACTGCCTTGAAGTTCTTTTGTAGTTTGAGAAACTAGCGTGAGACTCACAATACTTCTCATCAAATTCTTAAACTTCCCTGAACTTTTTAGGACTTCCTAAAGTTTCCTAAATTTTTCCAATGATCATGGATCTCTTCTGAACGTTTAACAATTCGCTGAAGTTGTCTAAACTTCTTTAAAATTTATGTGATTTCTCTAATGTTAACGGAACTGCTCTTTTCTGAAATTCTCAAAACTTCTCTAAAGTTTTAGCAGTTCTCATGAATCTTGTTGTATTGCGCTGAATTTAATTGAAACGCCCTAAAAATGTTTAAGCTTCAGTGAGCTTCTGAACGTATGCGAAGACCTCAATTAACTTTTTAACTCTGAAGTTATCTGAAAATCTGGGAACTGCTTTAAACTTCCCACTAATTTTCTGAAACTAAAGGAACTGGCCTCTCCAAAAGTCTGGAGTAAAGCTCCGGAAACTGCTCTTAAGGTCTGAAATTCCCGAAAAAATCTCTAGATCTAGCTTTTTTGAGGTACTTAGAACTTCTTGAAAAATTGCGCAATACCCCTCATGTTTTCTATATTTCTCAAGTTCGCTTGACACCTGTGATGTTCTCTGAAATTCTAGGAACATTATAAAAGTTCCCGAAAATTTTCGAATGCTAAAAGAACCGCTTTGAGGTTCTTAAAGCTTCCAGTAAGTTCCCCATATTTTTAGCGTATTAACTTCCCTTATGTTTCCGCAGTTTGTTTATGGACCTTCACTGAAATTCTCATCATTTCTTTTCATTACTCACTAAAGTTCCTAGGAACTTGAAATAAATCATTTATTTTTTTTTCCTTGATTCTTGCACTAATCAAATTGGGTCAGTTCTTTATAACTTTATTAAGTGAGAAATTAAGTAAGTGATAAACTTCATCATTCTGTGGATTTGATTGTAAAGCTGTTTCTTTAAAACTGATTGACATGTCTTAAAAACGTTTGGGTAAATTGCTGTTGTTTTTGATCTACAAAAAAAAGAATATTTTTAACGCATTTAAAAATTTAGCTTTATCCGTTAAAATACTGGGAAAACCTGGAAAAGTCAGATAGTTTTATTTAGAAAAATGAATAGACACCCTGTAGATAGAGAAAGACGATTAAACGCCTAAAGCGAAGAATGATCAATCTAGAAGTAAATTCACGCTAAAAAAGTTGAAAATAGTGACTGATTACAAGAAATAGTGACTTTAGTGACTTGGCCTTAAAAAAAGAGACTTTTTAGTGACTGGCTTGAAAAAAGTGACTAAGTCACTAAAAAGTGACTCGCTACCAGCGCTGTTATCGGCAACAAGAATTCACTGAAAAAGAAACGATTTAACTGCCGCTCATGCTCTCCGAAAAAAAAATAAATCGCTGTTGCTTTTCTCGCGAAAACTGCTGTGAGCGTATAATATGCTCTCGCTTCTCACATTCTCAACTATTTCTTCTAACAGGTGAAAAATGATGTTTCTCTTCTCAAGTAGGCGAAAATTTCGATCTCTGGTTGCAGTGGTTGTTGGATCATGCGACACTGCAACTTTGTCTGTGCTGTAACTACTAGATGTATGATTCGTAGAGTTTATACAACTCAATGTTTCAATAGAGATCCCTAATAAACAAATACCATAAACGAACTCTATCCCAGATGGGCAAACTATCCCACAAATGGTTTGGATGATACCCCGAACACGTCGTTAAGTTCTCTTTTATGGTTATTTTTATTAGGGATATACTATTCACCTTATAATTACAAAAGCAAACTGAAAATTACACTCAAAGTGCTCACTCATTTTCAACTTCTATTCAATTTTCATACTGCCGTACTCCAACGGAAACATCTACCTATCCTCTTCTAAGATCAATCTCTAGCTAATAAATTATCACACTAAAGCTTTATGTTAGATAGCATTCCAACCAACTCTTAAAATTACAAATATATGCAAATGCAAAATAAAACCTGACAAATCATCGTCAATCCCCTTATTCTTGGGAAGGGCCTGACGATGTGAATCTGATTTTGACCAGCAGTGAACGGGCACCATATGGTACATACTCTCACTATGAACCTGTCATTTCTAGCCTATCTGAACTATTTCTTAAATGGAAACCATATCATGGATTACGCTCCCCCTAAGCGGGCCCTCCGCATCCTATCTTTGTCTTATCTCAAACACCAAATACAAATGGTTTGAGTGTATCAATATATAAATTGGAAATGACGTTCAATCAAATAAACCTTCAGAATCGTCCAGTGGGCAGTGCGCTCTATACTCCAAGTTCCGTTTCTTTCAAATTCACCCCAAATTTGATATTTTACCCATTGAGTGTTCATTAATCACAATGAAACAATGTGACAGAGCGCACGAACTTGAGGTTACTAGAGTATTAAATAATCTATGTCCTATTTAGGATTATATCTGAAAAATCCAAATCTGGCCAACGCCCACCAATATTGCTAGGGAACGGTTGTAATTGTATGGTTAATTTGCTTAACGACGTGTTCTGGGTATCATCCAAACCATTTGTGGAATAGTTCAATGATTTGGGTTATCGTTCGTTTATGGTTATTTTTTATTAGGGTTGCTCCTGCATAGATCTCTTGTATTGTCCATATATAAGTAAGTTAAATTTGACTTAAATTTACCCAACTTCTGAGTTTGTCTAGTTTAGTCCAATCTGGGAAAACGAAACCTACATTTGGGTTATCTGTTCTTAGCGTGAAGGGAAGTAAAACCTCTTAAGACCATTGCTCTCTGTTTCTGCTCAATGCTTTCTTGTGCCTTATCAAAATGATTCGTTCTTTGTTCATCTGCTATTTTTTTTTTCCAGTGCCATGAATCGTTTTGGGAGAGGCAACATTGCTTTCAGATCGTAGAACGTGCGCTTCCGTGCCTAGCAACGATATCCTATCTTTGTGCCAACAGCCAGGAGAGTTATGTTGAATGGGTCAACGCGCTAAAGTCACATTGCGTTTCCCAGCTCAGCAAAGCTCAGTCCAAAGTTCCGCGTTTGCGCGAGTTGCGCTGCTTGAATCTGCAGATACTCGAAGCTCACCGTTTGCCATTCAAACTGGTTCCGCATCCGTACTGCGTCGTTTCGCTGAATCAGGTCAAGGTGGGTAAAACCCGCGTCAAAACAGCACCGGATCCAGTGTGGGAAGAGGAGTTCGTTCTTGAGTGAGTATTGAACGTTAAGTTATCATTGTTTAGAACTGCGGTAAGTTGAACTGGTTTTTTTTCCTCTAGTGATGTTCCGCCGGACGTAGTGACAATTACAATCACCGTACTCAGTAAGGGTAAACGTGGTAAGGATTCCGAGGTAGCCGAATTGACTGTTGACCTGTGTGGATTGAAGAATGGTCAAGAAACGGAAGAATGGTATCCACTGATCGGGATGACACCGATGGGCGAGTGGGGATCCATTCGGCTTCGTATACGATATTTGGATGACTTGGTTATGCCCTGCGATGAATATAGTCCCCTTCAGCAGCTCCTGGTAGAACCGGAACTAAATGCAGTGCGTGCGTTGGCCGAAATCTGCCATAACGATCGTATTCCGTTGGCTACATCTCTGTTGAAAGTTTTCCGCCACGAAAAACGTGAAACTGAACTGCTGAGAATACTGTGTCAAACGGAAGTTGCTCGGGAAAATGAAACCACTACACTGTTTCGCGGTGCTTCCCTTGCGACAACTCTCATGGATCTCTACATGCGTGCTGAGTGTACCGTTTTTCTACAATCCGCCGTATCTGACACAATCCAAAGAATACTCGACAGCAAGCAATCAGGAGAACTGAATCCAACAAAGATGGATGTGAACGATGACGCTTGCTCAAATGCTGAATTTCTGTTGATGATTTTGGATCAGGTCACACAATCGATTTTCACCTCGCCTGATGCCTGTCCTCGTACTGTGCGGTACATTTGCAATTGTCTTCAGAAGGCAGTGGTAGCCAAGTGGCCATCGCCAAACGAGCGTCTAGTGCGTACTCGTGTAGTATCTGGATTCATCTTTCTACGTTTGCTTTGCCCTGCTTTGCTCAACCCCCGTCAATTTGGTCTAGTCAGCGAAACTCCTCATCAGATGGCAACTCGCACGCTCATAATGGTGGCAAAATGTCTACAAAATCTGGCCAACCTTGTGGAATTTGGTGGAAAAGTAAGTGCAAATTTAAAACTCCAAGAAGCAAAACATTTTTCCTAATTGTTTTTTTTTTTTTCTACCAATAGGAACCATACATGGAAGTAGTCAATCCATTCATACTGAAGAACAAGGAAAGGATGATAGTTTTCTTGGATCAGTTATCCTCCGTCACTGATCCAAATCCTCCACCGGGATGCATGGTCGAACAAAACAGCTCATGCACGCTCTCTAGCTCCGATGCCGGTAAGATCAAGTCCATTTGACTGCCCTTCATGAAACATTAACAATTTGCCTCTTCTTGCCATTACCACAGGACGTGAACTTGCGACATTGCATCACATCTGCGTTTCGTACCTTCCGGAATTGCAATCGATGAGTAAGACTAACAATTCGCTCAAAAAACTGGTCACTGTCACGGAGATGCTTTCGAAGCACAAACTCAAATACCGTGAGATGATTAGTTAATTTGTTGGCGTAGGTACGGTCTTTTCCAAATGAATTTACATGAAACAATTAAAGAAAAATCTTACATTGCTTTCTCTGCTAGGGAGAAGAACTAAAAGTTATAAAAGAAAACAAAACCGACACAGGATTAACATTTAAAAGTGTATTACAAACGAAATAGTGAGACAATTGGGGATAATCAGGAAGAACAATGATCTGTTTTATGTTTCAAAATTTTGGATAAAAAAGTCAAAAGTATTTATTGAACATCTGCTTGTATGTATTTGCTCGACACTCTTGCAGATGGAAGTGAACACTTTTCATCACAGGAATAATTTTTAGCATTTTGCTGTACTCAGGAGAGGTAATTTTAGGCTAAAAACATATTTAAACAAAAGATAGCAAGTATGAAACGAAAAGTTATGTATTCCAGGCATCGCACAAAATTCGTCAGTTCATTTAGAAGTTTAGGTGTCCGTTTTCAAAAAAAGTCATACTAAAAAATATATACGGCCGTCTCCTAACAATAAGCAGCTACATGCGAGCAATTAATTGAATCCGATAAAGATCAGACCCCAAAATAGCCTATTTCTGTGTAGATCAATTTTTTTTCCCTTGAATACCCTTTTCATACCAGTGCACTATTTCAACCGACAAGACAACAGAATAAACAACAATTAACTTCTTACCTTTGCCGTAAATTAAAAGCCAACATATTGGAACGCATTATTATCTAAATGGATGTATTTGAACCAGTAATGCAAGAACAGAATCAGTTATATAGATTAGAAATGATAACATTCGTCGTAGGGAGTAGTCAAAATAAAAACAACAAACAGAAACAACCAACGGTATAATGAGAAACGAATTAATTTTAACCATGGTGTAGTAGCAAGGAACGAAGAAAATATGTTTATACCAAAAAAGACGTGGGATTTAGTTTATGTTAGGAACTTATGGACCGATTTGTTTGATATATATTGCCGATTATTGTGGAACAACGCCAATCGACAGGAAACTGGCAGCGATGCCTCTCTAGTAAACGTAAAGCAGACGCCATTTTAGTTTATACGTTGTACTTTTTTATATGCTCTTTATTGGATATATTTTACATTCTATGTCATCCAGATCAATTAGGCCAAGCTTTAGCCCAGACAATTTTCAATGCATTTTTATAATCGTATATTTAACAGTGACTATAATAAACAATTATCACTCAAACAAGTTTCAGTTTCCTATGTGACTAATAGAAAGAACATCTCCTATGATGGCATGCGTGATCAAGGAATCAAAATATCTCCAAATGACAAAATGACAAGCGATCAACGAACCGAATGATAACGCTGTAATGAAGTGGAAAGCAATAATGATATAATCTTCTTCCTTTTTTTCATGACAAGCAACCCGTGCGACACAGCTCACTTGGGGCGGTAGAAGGTAACGAGCAAATTGTTGGCAAGCTGCTTCACGAAGTAAAGCCGAAGATGCCTACAAGTGTGTTAATGGGATTTTTTTATGTCTTTTCTCGATTCAGATCAAGCTATGTTCTCATCCGTGTATATTGCAACAAAGCAATATATCATTATCGTTCTACCACTCTGATCGAGCTATGTTACAGAGCGAGTTTGTCATGGTAGCCGTAGCAACCGTTTTGTCTGTATCACGCTGTCACATCTGATGTGACAATTGTCACCTCGCGTGAGGTGACTCTCCATTTGATTTGCACGGAGACTCACCTCACCCGCGGTGACAATTGTCACTTCACCATTACTTCACTGTCACCTCACCTCACACGCCGTGCAGAATAGGTCTAATAGAATTGTGCGATGAATGCTGAATTTCGAGCTGTCACACTGTTTACTGCCCAGTTTCATTTTGGATCGACTCAATCACGAGAATCTGTGATGTGGCGTCCTGAGGCGCAAGGGAGTACCGGATAAAATCTTTAACCTCATCGAAGCGCAGTACCATGGCCTAGGCGAGGGTTCACCTCGTTTGGCATAAAAGAACAGCTCATGTACCCATTAAATAATTATTTTCCCTTCTTGGTATTATGCGCTGTACTTTCTTATTCCGTTGAAGTACATCCCAAAAGGTAAAAACCTCTTATGTTCTAACACTCTAGGGTAACCCTAATACAAAATCACCATAAAAGAAAGATAAACCAAATAATTTAACTATTCCACGAATGGTTAAACCATAGAGGTAACTCTAAGACAAGAAGGTCCCGAAATAATGTGCTCAACTTTTTGCCTCAGCTCTGGTACTCTCTACACACTTAAACAGAGACCCTGACTTCGGTAAAAAAAAATACCGCCTTAGATCGGTAATGCTAAAAATTACAGATGTTTCGGTATTTTCTCGCTTTATTGCTGAAAACTGTAAATGAAATGACCGAATTTCGGTAATTTTATTTTAATTTACCGAAAACGGTAAACATTTTTACCAGCAGGTCTGTAAATCAGCTTCATCACTGACTTCGGTGAAATATTTTACTGGAGTTTCGGTAAACAAAGCATTCCATTACTGAGTTCGGTAACGGTCTAGGTAAACGTCAAATCCACCATATTGTTATTTTCGATCGACATTAAAAGCGTTCGTGCTTGTCAAAAATAAAAAAAGGTGAAATTATATAGGCTGTTATGCAACAACAAGATGAGCGAATCGTGGAAATTTTCCGTAAATAATTAATTTCCGTTATCTAAATAAATCCCGATTACAGAAGGCCGATGTTGTTGCTTGTTTTTTTCTGTCGGTTCAAGTTCCATTCCCGTTGGCGACGATCTGAAAACAGCATTTGGAATCTTCTTCCAATGCTTCCTTGTTTTCAGTGTAGCGCCGAATCTTAAGTTTTTGTCGGAAAGAATCGGCGCTACACTGGTAACAAGGAAGCATTGGAAGAATATTCCAAATGCTGTTTTCAGATCGTCGCCAACGGTTTTGTTCATTGGTGGTGCAATTTGTAACACTAACTTATTGATCACGACTGCAGCCAAATTTTTGCATGGGTTGCAGTGACCACCACCTTGATTACAGTTGAGTCGGTGACCTTTTTAAAAAATTACAGATCTCTCGGTAATTTTCGATTTGCATATCGTCCTCAAAATTACAGTTCTCCGGTAAAGTCGACTACAAATCAAGCAATGCACATCGGTAAACGTTACCGATCGTTCGGTAAATTTGACAGCTAATTTTGCTGATCCAGTTTACAGATTTTTCGGTAATTTTCTCCATTACCGAAAACATTACCGACCGTTCAGCTGTTGAGAATTCGGTAAATGAATTACCGAAGTCGGTGATTTTTTCTAAGTGTGTACGGTCCCAAGCTAATCGATTCACCCCTCGAAACATAGGAAAATCCAATAACCCCTCATTTTATCTGTCAAACTTTCATAGCTAATCAAAACAAACATAGTGTAGTACTAGAATTTCGACTAGAATGGGATACGTTAATCGTTTGCTTGGGACCAATAGGCTAGTCAAGTAGTGAGCCAATTTTAAATCGTTAGCTTCGTATTGATTGTTGGTTAAACGCTGTACAGACTGGAGAGTTATAACATGTTATAACGGTTGTCAAATAATTGCAACACAGGAACCACCATCAAGATAGCGCTATAACATGTTATAACCATAAAGGTAACTCTAAAACGCTGTCTAGACTGGAGAGTTATAACATGTTATAACGGTTGTCAAATAATTGCAACACAGAAACCACCATCAAGATAGCGCTATAACATGTTATAACCATAGAGGAAACTCTAAGACCACTGGGTCCCGAAGAAAATCATTATTATTTTTGGCTCACTCAGTACCAGAACAACGGTCCCAAGCAGTCCCAAGCTATTTCACTCACCCCTGCATGTTCTGCATGAATCCACACACCCCTGATGTTATCTGTCAAACTTTCATAGCGAATCAAAACAAACATAGTGTAGTAATAGAATTTCAACTAGAATAGGGTACGTTAATCGTTTGCTTGGGACCAATAGGCTACTAAAGTGGTGAGCCAATTTAAAATCGTTAGTTTCGTATTGATTGTTGTTATAACTCTGTAGTCTGAACGTACTATAAGACCAGAAGGTCCCGAAGAAACGAGCTCAACTTTTTGACTCAGCTCTGGTACTATCTTCGGTCCCAAGCTAATCGATTCACCCCTCGAAACTTAGGAAAATCCACTAACCCCTCATTTTATCTGTCAAACTTTCATAGCGAATCAAAACAAACATAGTGTAGTACTGGAATTTATACTAGAATGGGGTACGTTAATCGATTTGCTTCGGACCAATAGGCTAGTCAAGTAGTGAGCCAATTTGAAATCGTTAGTTTCGTATTGATTGTTGTTATAACTCTGTAGTCTGAACGTACTATTACAACATGTTATAGCACTACTTGATGGTGGTTTCTGTGTTGCAATTATTTGACAACCGTTATAACATGTTATAACTGCTCAGTCTGGATAGCGCTTAAGGTGCTGTTTTTTACATCATCGGCAGTGCAGTTCAGCGAACTTTGCCACCGGCGTGATTCCGGCACACCACAGTGAAGGACTGGCGGACGAGCCGTACAGCATAGGACCGAGCGAGAAACGCATGAAGCAGGTCGAAGCATTGCGAGCGCATAATAGCCGACCTAGGAGTGGATTTTTCCTGCTGCGTCACGGCATCGCAGAGCCAGGAGTTGGCCATTTGCCAAAAGAATGTTTTTTTTTTCTTCTCTTAATTACAGCTTCCAACCCTTCCAAACCGCACGAGCCAATCCGGACAGCCTGCGGACCGCAGCAAAGTGCAATTCTCACGCACACACAACCTTGAGCCAGCATTTTTCTAGTTGGCCCCATCGAGTGGTTACCCGACTCCGGCTTACGGCTGGTTACGGATTGATCCGTAGCCGTTTGGTACATCAGGCCGATGTAGGCCCTTGAAGGCGAGTGGGACGTGTTGTGTGCGTAGGTGAGCCCATCGGACGCGTGAGTCCCAACGTAGCTGGCATCGAGCGACGGTAAGGGTGTACCCAGCCGAAACTGTGTGTACCGAAAGAAGAGAATCGTAGCAGATTGGAAGAAGAAAAGTTGAGTCAGG